TTGATGACAACACAATCATTTTTTGAAGTTGTGACCGACTTCTGAAAATAGAACATGTTTTGAACATTCAGAACAATGTTATAAAATGTGTTTTTAAACACGGACATTATTGAATTTCTGAACATTTTACTAAAACAAGAAATTTTTTCGAATTTTGAATATTTTTTTAAATGTATTTTTTGGGAATCTCAAACAATTTTCGAAAACACAACAAAAATATGTCCTGAATTTCGAAAGAAAATCAGAACGAGAGAAAAATATATTTTTTCCAAACATTTTTAAAAACGGGAACACAATATTTAATTGTAATTTTTTCGGAAATTTTACAAAAATAAAATGCTGATTTTTATAAAAAATTACTACAAAATAAGGTGAAAATAAAAATAAATTTGGAAGAAAAAATGAAACAGGCTTGCACAGTTTTGGGGTCCCTGTGTGAAGCTCTGACTATCTGCTGTGTAGGGCGACAAATAGAGTTTTTGCAGCTTCATGAGCGAGCAAATAAGTGGGCTGGCTTGGCTGGGCCACAGGATCTGCGGCCCAAGTCGAAAATCTGGATTGTAATATAAAAAACAGACGGACAGACAAAAATTTAATACCACCTCGGATAGAAAAATAAATTTCGACGGTGAACGGATGAAAATTTTGGCGAAACGCACCTTGGTTTATTAGTAGGTATAGGAAAAAAACGGTGCGAGGTGAGGAGGGTGTCGTACGAGAGATCCAGGGGGGCGAGGGAACGAGCGAACGAAACAATGTTCGATGTACTCCCTCCGGTCATTTTTACTCTGCATATTAGGTTTGTCTGAAGTCAATCTCATCCAACTTTGATCAAGTTTATACAAAAAATTATTAACATTCACATAACAACACATTTATTATTAGATCCATCTCGAAATATATTTTTATATTATATTTATTAGATGTTAATATTTTCTAATATAAATTTGGTCAAATTTAGCAAACTTTGACTTCAGACAAATCTAATGTGCGGAGTAAAAAGGACCGGAGGGAGTAAGTGGTGAGACATTATAGGAGTAGAGATACCACAATAGCATAAGTAAAAACCTAAATTCAAGATTAATAAAAACCTAAATTCATGTCCAGGAGGACTTTGTACATCCACTCCAAATTCGCAACGCCAATTACCGTAGGACTTTACAACTAAAGTGAATGGTGTTAAGTGCTTGATGCAGCACCACAACCCCCTCCATAATGTACCTCCCCTTGACAAAAGCAGTTTGGTGGAAGAAATCACATGAGAGACAATTCTACTAAGCCTATTCATCAAGACTTTACTAACGATTTTAAAACTAACATTCAACGAGCAAATATGCCTGAATGTCTGAATTTGTTTTGCATCACTAGTCTTAGGGACCAAGTGATGATCCCAAAGTTGAATCTAGCAATATCTTCCGCTCTAGCAAAACCATCAACAAGTCCTTTTAAATCCCATTTTACCGGGTCCCAAAACTGTTGGTAGAAGTCAACAGAAAAGCCATCAGGGCCAGGACTTTTGTTTTTCTCATTTGAAAAACCACATCATGTATTTCTTGCATAGAAAAAGGTTTAATAAATTCTCCAGCTACCTCAATAGGGATCTTAATGAGATGTTTTTGCAACAAAGAAATGTTAGAGCAATCTGACTGTCCAAATATATTTTTGCAAATTTAGTAATGTATTCCATTAACTGGGTCTCCCCCTCAATAACCCCCTCATTTTGTTAACAAATTTATTCTTCCTTCTCCTTCCATTTACTAGCATGATAATGTCTGGTATTCCTATCTATTTTTTGCGGGAAAACTTCTGAGCTATTCATCTTCAATCATGGCAGTACAACGAACATCCGAAATAATAAAAATTACATCCAGATCCGTAGACCACCTAGCGACGGCTACAAGAACTGAAGCGAGCCAAAAGCGTGACGTCATCATCGCCCCTCCATTGCCGGAGTCGGGCACAACTTGTTGTAGTAGAGAGTCGTGATGTCGTCGTGCTAAGGCCCCATAGGACCAACGCACCAGAACAACAACCGTCGCCGATGAAGAATAACGTAGATCAGAAGGATCCAACCCGAAGACACGCGAACGTAGACGAACAACGACGAGATCCGAGCAAATCAACCAAAGATAGATCCGCCGAAGGCACACCTCCACACGCCCACCAATGGTGCTAGACGCACCGCTGGAACGAAGGCTAAGCGGGGAGACCTTTATTCCATCTCCAGGGAGCCGCCGCCGTCTTGCCTTCGTGAGCATGACACAAACTCTAACAGAACTAAAAGGAACGACTAGAAATGGAGCCCTCCCGCCGGCCCTTGCAGAGATCCATCGCGCCCCCATGGCCCTAGGGCCACCGGAGAGGAGGCGGAGGCGGACCTGCGGTGGCGCCGAGGAGAGGCAGGAACACTAGCTTCTTTTTGGAGGAGGAGGAGGAGGAGGCGGCCCTAGGTCTGGTATTCCTATCTCCATCCACTATCTTTATATTTTTACCGCCACTTAATTTCTTCTTCTTTGAGAATTCTAGCCAACTGATCTCAAAGTTCTTTTTGTTCCATTTTGGCACCAGCAGATAATCCCATGTTTTCATCATTTTTTATCAATCACATCCAGTTAACTAACAATTTCTACCTTTATCTTCCTATACCAAGCATCTACATTTTTATTCCAGCCCTTCACTTCCTACGTAAGGTTTCTCAATCTTCTCCGTCGAAACGCTGCAACCATTCACATAGAGAACTTAAGCTACTCTCCGACGTAGAACCGTGAGTCGGTGAGTGAGATACACTCCATATAGAGAGAGAAAAAGGGCCAAGGAAGACGGCGGAAAAAATTTTGCGTGCGTGTGTGTGCGCGCGGGCGGGAGGGCGTGCGCGCGCCACAAATTCAACGCAAGAGCGGCGGCTTGCACCACCAGCTGGAGCTGGAGGCGGTGCGTGAGGTGTGAACCTCCGTGTCCGAATGGTTAAACTGGGCGACGGCGCCGGGCTGCACCATGCAGATGCAGATGCAGATGCAGGCTCTCATCCCATATTTTATTCCACAAGACAATGCAGCTCCAACTTAATTTGGGCACGGCAGGTAGTCGGCACCACAGAAGTACTCCCACAGTCGGCAGGTCTAGTATAAGAAACGCTTTGTTATTGTATTATAAGACGGGAAGAGTGATAATCTACGTTATGCATGCGACGTCCTTCAGCAAAACAACTACTAGTACATACAAAGATTCAAAGAAGGTGTCACGTGATATCCAGACGTCCAAGAATGGTGCATGCATCTGAGCATCTCTGTCGTTATGGTGGTAGCTGGATAGGCTCAACCATCGATGGGAGCACGCGTACCGCGTACTTGTTTAAAGATTCAAATATGAATTTTGCCACTCTCCCGCTTCCGTATCTGCCAGCCGCCAATTGAATTTATGAGCTTTCAATCAAACCGTATAATTCGTTCGTCCTTATTTATGTAGATATATACCATCGATAAAAGCACGTGCACTTATTCAAAGATTCAAATGTGGACTTTGCCACGCTCCCGCTTCCGTACCTGCCAGCCGCCAATTGAATTTATCAGCTCCCAGCCAAACCGTATAGTTCGTTCGTCCTTGTTTATGTAGATGTCTACCATTGATAGAAGCACGCGTACTTGTCGAAAGATCCAAATGTGAACTTTATCACGCTCTCACTCTTGCACCTGTCAGCCGCCAATTGAATTATCAGCATCTAGCCAAACTGTATAATTCGTTCGTCCTTATTTATGTAAATGACTAAATGTATACCATCGA